ATACGGAGAGGTGGAGGTGAAGGCCAGGCAGCTGGCAACTGGCGGAACTGGGATTCAAACCCTGAAGAGTGTGGTTCCAAAGCCAAATTCTTAACTGCTGCAGGGGAGCCTCCTATAAGGCACCAGGGGCTTCCAGAGCCTTCTCTGGCCCTAGATAGCTGCCACCTCAAAGGTCGGCAGGAGCTTCTGGCCAAGGCAGGTGGATCCTGGGCCCAGAATCCCCAATGACAATGTGAGTCCAACCTTGGGTCCTGCAGCCCTGAAACAAAAATCGCCCCCTCACCCCAAATCCAGCCTGAGCCTCTTCAGATGGCTGGGCTAGTTCTCGCTCACACACTCATGCATCCGCGTACTGAAAGAATATTTGCTGAGCACCTGCTTGGTGGCAGGCACTATTCTGGGCACGTGGGGGATAGTAGTGCACAAAGATCCCTGGAGTTTGCACTCTTGCACTGGAGACAGAAAACAAACAATAGGCATAGCCAGTAAGTGTGTTACATAGTACATCGGGAGGCTACAGGTACTATGGAAAGAAGAAGCGGGTGAGGAAATTGGGAGGGTGGAGATGGAGGGTATGCAAGTTTAAACAGGGTGGCCAAGGTGGGCCTCGCTGGGGAAGCAATAGTGAAGCAAAGATTGGAAGGAGGTGGGGGGTGAGCGAGCAGGCATGTGGGGAGAACATTTCAGGTGGCCGAACAGCCCGTGCAAAGACCCTGGGGTGGGAGTGCACTGCAAGGTGGGCAGAGCAAGCGACGGGGAGAGGGAGGAGACGCAACAGAGGCAGCTGGGGCCTGAGTGCACCCTGTAGATGGCACTGAGATTGCCCCTCCCTGGAGAGAGGAAGCCAGCACTTTTTTCCACCAGCCTTATCTGATGCTGTGGTTGAAGGAGCCAGTGAGGGCAGGCGTGAGGGGCTGCATCGCTCGGCACAACCGAGGAACCTCAGCGGGGCCCTCAGAGCAGCTGACATCCGCTCAGCCTGTGGCTTCTGCCTGTGGCTTCTGCATCTCAGGTTGCCCCGACGGCTGCTATTTTTGCTCCTGTTTGGGGTTCCATGGAGAGCTCCTCTGTGCACGGTTGGGTTTGCTCTGCTCAGAGCAAATGGGAGGGGTCATTTAAACATCCCAAGTGTCCATCCCAAGTGGGAAAGAAGAGGAAATCTGTCATACGTATCATTTTGTCAATCCTCATGACCCCCGCCAAGCTCAGAGAGGGTAGGTGGCTTGTCCAAGGTCACACAGCCAAATTGAACCACACACTGAGGATTCTACTCTGGTCTATGTAGGTCTGAAGGCCCTTAATTTGCATGGAGGTCTTTGCATTTACTGCCTAAATTAACGTTTCCCAAGCAGATACTCTGCTTTCCGGCCTTCCAGCAGGTGTGAGAATAAAGGTGCCCTGCTGTGGGTGCTGTCCTCCCAGAGAATCCCAGCACTGGTGGGGAGGACCATGGCGGGTGGACACAGGGAAGGGACCTCTGGCTCAGACCTCTGGGGGTGGGCCGAGGGGGCAATCATAGAAGGCCTCTGGAAAGCTGTGATGTCTCAACCACACCTGCAAGACACACATTCTGGACAAAGGGCTCTGAATATGCAAGATCAAGAGGCATGACAGCTTGGCCGTAGGGGAGAGGCTTTGGGAAGGAGCAGGCCAGTGATTCTGCAGGAGGCGGAAGCTATGACAGCCTGTGGGACGCAAAGAGTGAGATCAGACAGGTGGGCGTATTGAGGATGTGGAATAGATGCAGCAGGTAACAAGGGACACCCAACGAAAGGCCGCGAGCAGGGGACCGATGTGTGCATCGGCGGCTCACAGAGATCTCGCTGGCTGCTGTGAGAACAGACTCTGCGGGGAGGGTGGAGGCAGGCGGCCTGGCAGGAGGCTCCTGAAGCCACCCAGGTGACTGAAGGCACAGCCGGCAGCACGACCCAGGGGATGAGAGGCAGAGAGTAAGGCAAACGGATGGGCCAAGGAGGACTCCGGATCTGTGGCCTAAGCCAAGCGGGACAGTGGCATTTACTGGGGTGGACGCAAAGCGGGAGGGTGCGTGAAGCAAGAGAAGGGCCATTCAGAGTCACATCTCCTCCCAGATGAGCCCTCTGGGGGTGAGGACATGCAAATCAGAGCTGCCCTTCTACACTGATTACCCCCATGCAAAGCCGCAACTGTTCCTCACAGCAAGCGAGACCCAGAGCGATAAGTGCTCTGCCTCCAGTCTCCAGGCTAGACATCCGGGCCCGCCTGACTCCCACTCCAGTGCTCATCGCCACGGACCCAACAGCAGGAGGCCCCCGAGGCCCTCCCTGGAAAATGGCTCCCCAGGGCCTGGGAGAGGCTGGAGAATCCACTCCCCACCTGTGATACTCTGGGCCTGGCTTCTCTACTGTGCACATGGGTTGAAAAGGCTGGATAGAGACGGCGCCTCCTGGGCAACCCCTGGACCCCCCAGGGGGTGGCACAGAGGCTGCCCCAGGTGGCTCGAGCTGCCTCCCCGCCTCTGCTCCCAATTTCATTAATTACTGGTTTGTTAACGCGCAAGGCGGCAGGGGGAGAGTCATCTGGGATCCCGCCAGCCGCGGGAAGGAAATTAATTTCCAGCATGAAAGCTCCCCACACACTCTGATCTCCAGCACAGCAGAACAGCAGGGCTGGGGCGACCAGCCCGAGTCATTCTTAGGAGAGAATCAGAGGCCCGAAGTGGATGAAGAACTTGCCCAAGATCACCCAGCAATTATATAATGGCAGGAAGAGCCCTGTGACCCAGGCTTCCCGACTCCCGGGCACCTTCATTCATTCTTCCCGCAAATATCCAGTGGCGCCTGCTGTGTCTCAGCCCCTGTGTGCCAGCAGACACCCTGGTCCCAATCAGAGGCTCGCCAGGGTCCCTCCCCTCCCCAGGAAGAGAGCATTTTTATTTCCTGAGCACCAACAGCATGCTTTATATATCTTACCCATTTAATCCTCCTAACAGTCCGTCATTTTGGAGGTGAGGAAACTGTGGTTCAGAGGGGTGAGGTGACCTCCCCAAGGTCACACAGCTATCCAGGGACAGAGCAATGGCTCAGAGTGAGGTCTAGGTCTTAAAACCCAGGTTGAGCTTCTGTTCTCTGGGCAGGGCGTGGGGGCTGGGGGAGGCCATTCTCCAAAGTACTCTCCTTCCAAGGCCCTCCTCCCCAGCCAGCGCTCTCAGCAAACAGGTCATCGAGCAGCAGTAAGAATGCTGGTTTATTGGCTGCTCTCCCGAGACGCCACCAATATAACGCTGGGGACTGGCCTTCAGTACGCTGTTCGGGAAGTGTTAAAACTAAAAGGATACATTCTGTTTCAAGATGGCCAGTCAGTCCCTGCGATGAACTCCTCCCCCAGTCAAGAACCCATGGAAGTGACCAGAGACATAAAGAAATTACTATCTGCCAGGGCTGGGGACAGATGTGGCCCTGCATTCTAGCTCCCTAAACAGAACCCAGAGAGCAAGGTGAGAGCTTCCCGGGTCTCACACAGACACACACAGACACACAGACACACAAACACACACACACATACACACACGCATGCACACAAACACATGTCCCTGTGTAAGCCACGTCCTCCTCCCAAGCTGAGCTGATGTTCCAGGTCACTTGTTCATTCAGTAATTCAATATTTGTGGAGGTCCTTCCACACGTTAGGCAGTGTTAGGCAGTATGTGTGTGTGTGTGTGTGTGTGTGTGTGTGCGCACGTGCATATGCACAATCATCGCAACACAGGGCAGTAGGTATCAGTGTCCCTATTTTATGAGTGAAGAGACGGAGACTTGGAAGGCTCAGGGAGCTTGCCCTACGTCACAGATTGTATGCAGAGCTGAGATTTGAAAGCAGTACCCAACCCAGGCCCTGGTACACAGCCGGCACTCAATAGCTATCTCTTCGGCAGCCGGCTGGCCCCAAAGCCTTCCCTAGCAGCCCGGGGCCGCTGCCTCTCGCTGGCTTTCAGGCCCAGCGTGGAGAACGGAATCATTGCAGGGGGCAGAGGCGCTGCCGTCTCTCAGCCTCTCCGTTCGCCAGGATGCTCCAAATGAGGGACAACAGACCTGAGCGGGAGGCTTCTGTTTCGGGGACACACGTGCATGAAGCCAGATTTTCAACAACTGTGATAAATCAGAGCACCAGAAGAGGTCGGGCGTCCTGGTCTGCTGGGCACAGCGCTGTCAACAGCAGCGAGCCCCGCCCCCGCCCAGCTAACTCCCATCACCGAGACAGCCGCCCGGGGACAGCTGGGACGGCCATTCGTGTCAGGTTGCTGCGCTCGCCATCTCGTCCACCCGTTACGTGCGTGTGTTTGCCCTGACAGCTGTACCGAGGTCCTTCCTTATTTGTGGCTGTCCTTTCTCCTACAAATGTATGGCAAGTGGCGATCCCAGCTGGTTATTTCTCAAGATCCTTACTTGACAAAAGGAAAAGGTGGCATTCACTAAATTTGGGGAGAAATTTGTATTGACTCCCTAATCCTTCAAATGCAATGGAAGGGACAGCTCGGACTTTGTCCCTGGTGATGTTCCTAGCTTCTCCTCACCGTCCTGCCTTCTAGGAAGGCCACTCCCACTCCTCAGCCTGGGTACCCTCTGGGGTCCCAGGCCACAGGCTGTCTCCATCACTGCTGCCATTGTTTCTAGTCTGAGTCAGCCAGATGTCCCCCCGCCTCACCTGGCCAGGCCCACTGCAGGGTGTGCTAAATGAATGAATGAATGAATGAATGAATGACTACTTCCTGAGCACCCTGGGCACCTACAATGCTCTGGGCACCAAGACCACAACCCTGCTCTCCAGAGGCCAGTCCCAAGCACCTCCAGAACGCCTTTTCAAGAAGGAGCTGCCAAGTGCAAGCTCCCTGGACCTGCCGAAGCATCTTGGTTCCAGAACATGACAGGCACAGTCCACATCCCCGCCTGCCCCCACCCAGGCAGCTCACGGTGATGGCCTGACCCCCTCCACCCAGGAGGCAGCGGGCACCCACCGCTTACCTTCTGCAGAGGCACACCTGCAATGCACCAGCGTCTCGCAAGTAGAAGGAGCCCGAGTCTCATTCCACAGAAGCCCAGGCAGCGAGAGAACGCGCCCGCGACAGCCTCTGTACGATTCTGCTGCATAATCAGCAGAGAAAGAGAAAAAATGCCAGAAATAGCAAGCTTTATAAGCCCTCCTGACAACTCTTGGTCCTCTATTGGCTGGAGGCCCGGCACCCCCACCCCCCATCCCGTTCCTATAAGGTGAAATGGAAAAACCTGTTATTTAACCTCTTTTATCAAAATCCGTCTTCTATCCCAATTTGGGCCCGCCTGCTCTGAGCTCCTGGTGGCAGTCTCCATGCCAGGTCTCAGGGAGTGGAAGGGGAGGCAGCCCCTATCTCGGCACAGCTCCACGTCATTTGTGGCTTAAGAGCCTTCCCCGCTCACACTCGCTGCCTTGGGAGTGGCGTCGCGCTGGAAGGGCCTTCGGAAGGCAATTTGGCAGCACCTGTCAACGTGTGAAACTTGCATGCCTTTTCACTCGGCAATTAGACTTCTGAGCATCCATCCTGAAGAAATACTACGCTCAATGCAAGGACGCATGCCAAGGATGTTGCTTCTTCCAGAGAGAATTGGAGACAGATAAATGTCTAAAGCCGGGGTCTGGCTGGATAAACTGACATACATCCATTCTGGAATGTGATGGAATGAGCAAGGCCTGTAGGTGCCGACTTGGAGCTGATTGGGAGAAAAAGTCAAGGACATGGTCCCATTTTTATAAAAACAGTAACTCTGTGTGTGTTTGGATACGCACTATAAAAGATACCAAGCTGGTAACAGCGGTTACACCACGGAGAATGAGGCATTTTCGGTTGCTGCTTTTTTTCTTTCTTATTTTTTTCCTTTACCACAAGCATGTATTACATTTGTAATTTAAAACAAAAACATAGGAGCCTCCCCTGGTTCCTTCCCACTGCTCTGAAGCCAGCAGGCCAAGGGCCAAGGTCACCCACCACAAGTCTTGATTGGGCTGGGGACAGTGCTGGCCTGTCCCCCAGCATTCTTATCAGCTCTCACACAGGCAGCTAAATCCGGGCTCTGGGGAGAACGTGGACTCTAGAATAAGACAGAGCTGTGTTCAGATCTTAGCTCTGCCTGCTGAATAGCTAACTTCCCTGAGCCTCAGCTTCTTCACCTGTAAAATGGGGATACTAGTACCTATTAACTGTCATGTACTGTGCTGGGTGCTATTAAACCAATTTTAATTTTTTGGACATTTCAGAAGCAACAAAAGCTTCTGAAATGTCCAAAATGTCTCCTAGCGTCACAAAGCTAAGAGAGTATTCCAGGGCTGAGTGAGAAGACTTCTGGGGAATTGTCTCGTTACTGAACACTGGAACAATAAACTAAGTGACAGAGAAAGGGCCTAGGAAACAGCAAATTCCACGTGATAAATGGGGCTGATGCCCAGCGTGTCCAGAGGAGGAGGGAGCCCGGTGGAAGGAGTGATGGATTAGAAAAGGCTCCAGGAGCAGGAAGCCTTGCTTCCGGGCCTCTGTACCTAGTTCATGCTGTTCCCTCTGTCTGCAATGCTCTTTCCCCAGACCTTCTCACAACTGACATCTCATCCTCCCAGCTCTGCTTGGAGATCTCCCTTCTCCCCAGAGAGGGCTCCTCTGATCTCCCCTGCACCCAAATTATTAATATTTCCTCCATAGCACACTCATCCAGCCGGTGGTTTCTGATTATTTGTTTTGATAGTTTCTGTTCTTGTGTTTATTGCTCATCTTCTTCACTAGGCTCTGAGCTCCCTGATGGCCGGGACCACCGGCCTAGCTCATCTCCGGGTTCCAGCTCCTAGCACAGAGACTAATGCACAGTCAGCGCTCAACAAATAGAAAGTACACAAACCCCATAGATCTAGGGCCAAGATCCAAGCTCACAGAGCTCATCTGAAGGAAAAAGAGATGCAGATTTTGCACCATGATACAAAGATGTATCTTCAGACATACTGAAGATTTAGAAACACACACACACACACACACACACACACACACACACACACACACAGCTGTAAAGGTGCTAGAAGAAACTACTCATGAATATTTATATACACTTAGGATGGAAAACAACTTTCTCGGCCCAAATATGTGTGGACAAAGATGTTTACTGCATTATTATTTATAAGAAAATAGAAATGACAATAAAGTCCATCGACAGGGGATTGATTAAATGAATCATGGCTCTCTGTACAAAGGAATACTATGCCACCATGAAAAATGATAGGCATTTGTTGATGTGGAAAGAAGCCCATATGGCTTGTTGAATGCTAAACTTGCTCATCAGAAACCAGAGATTCTAATAAGTTAAAAGGATAACTGATTGTCACAGAAGGCAAAAATCTTTCCGTTATCATTTACTCATGCATTCACGCAGCAAGTATTTTCTGTTCCCTCTGCCTACTCCCTGCCTCATGCAGGTCACAGTTCCAGATGCTGTAGCAACATATGAACAGGACACCGTCCCCGCCCTCAAAGGCATCCTGGCTTAAACCTGTGGGTGAGTAATTATGACACATGGAAGACAGTGCTCACATCCATGGGCCTCAGGGTGGTCGGCTAAGTAAGAACTTTTGAAAAAGGTGTCATTTAAGCTGGGATTTGAAGGAGGGAAAGAATTGGGATATAAGAGAGGGAAGGAGGCATTTTAAGAGGGAGAGGTATGACACTATGGGACAAGTACAAAAAGTCTCTGCATTCTTCACCACGTACTGAACTCTACCATGTATTTTCAGGAAAGGGAGTCCGCAAGAGCTAAGCCTGGGGCCAGAAGATTCTGGACTTGATTCTGCCACATGTGTTGGGAGGAAGCATTCTGGGGTTGGGACCATGCTGTCCACAGGGGTGCAGGTGAGCAAGCAGCCCCGCCATCCTCACTCAACACACCCTGGGAGCGCCAGCTCCATGGGGCGGGCAGGGATGGGGCAGGTGCAGCCACCGGCAGGTTGGATAACTGAGGCTCAGCAAGGTGACGCAGTGGTGCTCTTTGCTTTGCAATAAATACTCGGCCAAGGTAGCCAGTGTGGTGGGAGGGGGTCCCACCTCTAGGACCCTCTGCTCAGCTCCTTCTGGGGTGGAGCTAGGGAGGGGCCCCTGCACCTTAAAGGAACTCAGCATTTTTTAGTTATTTTTATTTTTCAGATTCTGAGGCAACTCGATGGTTATGGTTCAAAACAAAGAGAGATGACTCAGCTTCCTGTGGAGGAGCTGCAGCCTTTTGGAAAAGATATTTCTGTTTTCATGTTCCTCTCTTCTCAGCCACGGAGGCAGCTTGTCCAGGGTGCTTGTTTTCTTGTTGTTCAACTGTTCCCAGGGTGAGGGGCAGGGACAATGGCCTGGCTCTGGGGCCAGACTGCCTGAGTTTGAATCCTGGCCCCACCCCTTACTTATCCAGAGAACCTGGACAAAGTTATATCCTCTATGAGCCTCTGTTTACCAATCTTAAGATGGGAATAATAGTTCCTTCCTGGAGTGGATATTTGATGAAACAGCTGTCATCTATGGAAAGAGTCTGGCCTACCCATAAATATCACTGTTAATATGTACAGCCACCACGCTGAGCTTCTGTGGTGCCGAGATTATCTTATTTAGTTTGCCTGCACAGCGCAAGTCCCCATTTTACAGATGAGGAAGCTGAGGCTCAAAGCAAGGAATTGACTTGTGTTTCCATCTTCCCATTCATGAGGGTCAGTGCACACAGCCCAGGCCAACCCACAACCAAATCTGCACAAACTTTTTCCTCTGTCTGCACTAGCTGCAAACGCATATCGGCCCCTCACTGGCTGTCTGCAAAATGGAGGCAAATACTCTGCGATTGTCGAGGTATTCTAGCCAAGGCTCAATACAAACAATTCCACGGCGGGCTCAGGAACCTTTGGTCATAGCACATCATTCCTTCCTCCAGGGCACTGAGGAACCAACAAAGGGCTGAGCCCTTCCTGTGCGGCACCCCAAGGAGAGGCACGAAGCTGTTCAGGAAGCCCCCTCCCAAGTCTAGAGAAAACACTGAAGCTGAGAAAGCAGGTGCGGACGCATGTAAGTAAAAATGACCCATCATCCCGATGGGCCCTACACCATGACATTAACACTGCGTCTCTCAAACCTCTGTCCTAGAACTCATTTAAAAAAAGCAAAACCCAAACCTGGTGCCGTGGACACTAACCCAAGACAGCCAAGACCCAAGCTTCCACCCTCCCTTCCCTTCACCCTGAAGCACACGCCGACAGAGCAACCTTAATAGTAACTGCCTAATTTTAAACCCTGTGATTACCAGGGTTGATTTCCATGGAACCTTCCTTTCACAGCACCGAGCACCTCTCATGAGTGGTAATTGCCAAGTTCAATTTTAGCTCTGTCATGCCCAACCGTCAGCCTTAACTAAGGCGGCTGCTTCATCGCCAGGTAAGCTGGTAATGAAGTCGGCTTCACGGCTTAATTTCACAATATTGTGATGCCCCCGTCAGCACCTGTAAGTGCGGGGAAGCTTCGAGCTTCTATTAAACAGATCTCACCCAAGGGATGTGACTAAAGCCGCTTTGCGCTTCTAAGGTGCCCTGTCTAGATCCTCACGCCCACGGGGATGCTGTGGTTGCTAATCCCATGCGCCTCCTCTGCGCAAAGCACCGATCGCCAGGGGCCTCGCCGCACACCCGAGGGTGTCCTGACCCCTGCTTCCCTCATCTCTGCTGTCACCGCTCGTTCCCCGCCCCCCATCCCTGCGACCTTGGCCCTCACCCCTCTGGCCTGGGTCCCCAGCGCAGCCTCTTAGCTACCCTCTCCCATTCATTTTGCAGGCCAATCAGTACAGTTTTCTTGCAAAAAAAAAAAAAAAAAGTGACCCCACGCCTGCTGTTCCCCATTGAAAAGCCTTCAGTGGCCCCCACTGTCCTTGAGGTAGAAAGTCCTCACACTGCGTTTTCCTCTAAGGCTCCCCGTGATCAAGCCCTGAACCAAGCTCTCAGACTCAGGGCCCACATCCCTCATTCACACGAGCCCAGGGACGCGCCTGCAGCACCCCAAGCCCCATACACCCCTGGCCTGGGTTACCCTGGTAAACAAGCCTCTCCAACTTCATTTTTCGTACAGAAAAATGTCTCAGGCTTGACTCCCTGCCCCTTAAACACAGAAGGAAACCTCTGCAGAACATCTGGGCATCACCCCTGTGGTCTCTCAGTGGCAGCACTGGCTGAATCTTTGAGCCACATTACATAAATGCCCCTAAAGATACTCTTTTGGCACTTAGTAAGCACCTGCTGTGTCCCGGGCACTGGCCCTCTCTGATTCCCCTTC